GCTGCGCAACCCAAGGTCAAACTGATGTGATCAGTAAATACATCTTTTTAAACGCCACAACTTTTATCTGAAACATTTTTTTCTAAAATGCTTAGTTTTCGAGATATTTCACCGGTCCGGGACTTTTTGAACACCCTGTATACAAGGTATCCCGCATAAGCGTCCAAGAAGAAAAATATAAGTAGAACCGATAAAAGTGAAAAATATGGTCGAAGTCACTTTTCGAACAACCACGTAAAATTTCGAATTATTAAAAAAATAAATATAATTATTAAAAAATAGACTATCAGAGCGCGCGACGCGGCAGGCGGGACATACGGTTTGCTGCGGCCAGCGAAAGAAATGCCGATTGCTCGCACGCCTATCTTATAGGCCCAGAGGTATTGATTGCGTCTTAAATCTGGCAATATGCGGACTATTTGCTATGATCAACTTTTTTCTCTATATCCTATCTAGATAAGTATCCTTATTCTTATTTCATGCTGGTATTATAGAAACGGCTTATGTAATAATAGTGATATCGTCGTAAAAAAATTAGAGAATAGGCATATAGGATTTTTTCTGGTGAAATAAATAACGGGCGGACGAGTAATTGTTGATTCTATGTAACCGGTTCTATTTTTTATGTAACCGGTTCTATTTTCGAGCTCTAATCAAACACAACATATAAAAATAAAAGTTTTTATTCATAGTTTTGTGTTTATATATATTTAATATATATAACTACATACGCACGCACATGTATATTTATATACATATGATATTATGTGTAATATAAAATGTCAGAAATGTGTAATTATGTACGGATGTAATAACGATATAGAACTAATGATTTCTATATATTGACCAACAGAGAACAGGTTCCGGTACCAGATTTGCAAGGTTGTCCCAACATGAGTCTACTCGAAGGCGATAATAAATCGTCCTTTTTTCCTATATACATAAAAAAAAGAAAAATAGAACATATATTACAATATTTTATAAAACATAATATATATATATATACATATTATATATATATATATATATATATATATATATATATATATAAGCATAATAAAAGTGAATACTTTACGAGATATTTTGAATTTTTTCATATTGCAACTTTGGAGCTTTATAACTCGAAAAGTACTCAATGAAGAAACATTTCATTAGAATGTTTTAGAAAGCTCTCGAGGTCAGCTACAAGAATATGTAATAAAAAATAAGGGATGCCGTTTAAAAAAATTGAGGTGACTTTCA